AAACAAAAATATTTTGAATTGTTTTATAGTAGTTTTTTCTTTGAGAAAACAAGAAAGTATGGAAAAAGGATTGTCAATCCTTTCAATCTTTCAAGTATTCAACAAAGGGAATCCTATCTTATTTTTGACTAAATAAACCTTCATCCATAAGTTGAATACTAGAAATATCCATTACTATTGGTTTTAAAATAAATAATAATATTAAGTTCTTTCAATAAAAAATTTTGTTTTTTTCTGTTCATTGAGATGTATTAATACTACTCTTTAGTCCAATATGTTTTTCTTTGAAGAGATAATTAGGGTTCTTCTATATGAACTAATTAACATTGTTTTATGTCTTTAAGTCAGGTACTTATTCAATTAATTGTAGGTCAACAAAATCAACAAACAGCTTCCCAAATAAATGAATTATCTAATCGATCATTATCAGAAATTCTTCCACCAGTAATAGACCTTTTACAAGACGCTAAAGTTATTCAAAATCCACCAACATTAATGAAAATTTTAATTTTTATGAAAAATTGTCTTACAGCAAAAGACCCTGAAAAAGCTTCAAATAAAAAAGCACAATGGAATACATTTACTATTGATATTAAAAATGGTATTCATGGTGTTCTTTTTAATCTTCTTAATTCAGCAGATTCACAAGTTCATTCTGTTTTAAGTGAAGTTATTGCTATTGTTGCATCCTATGATATTCCATTATCTCAATGGAGTGATTTAATAGAGGTTTTAACAAATGATTCATTTCCAATAACTATACAAAAAGTATGTCTTAATATTTGTTCATTATTATTTGAAAAGATTGATGAATATAAAATGACAGTATATTTATCTAAAATTTTACCACGATTTGTTACTGACATTAATAATGAACATCTTTATGAAATACGATTAAATGGGATTAAAAATTTGTTAAATCATTATCGATCATTCTCTTTTAATAATTTTGATGTTCTTTTTGATATTGTTGTTGATTCAACTAAAACAAATATTAGTGAAAATGCATTAACTATTAGGTTAGAAACTCTTTCAATTGTTGTAGAAAATTTATATGAAAAACTTATTGGTCAAAATGATAGATTATGTAATTTTCTTATTAATACAGTTGAAAAATATGGATCAAGTGAAGATATTGTAAAAAAAGTATATGATGTTTGGTGTACTATTGGTAGAGTTGAAAGTGATACTGTTAAAACAAGAAAATCACAAAATATATTAATTACTTCTATAAGTAAATTATATCCTCAAATTGTTAGAGTTATTAATGGATTTGCTAAAGAAGTAGTTCAAGAAGATGATGATGAAGGAGAAGATCAAAATAGTGTTATTTATGTTTCTCAAGAAATTGTTACTTATATGACTATGGTAGCACATGATCCATTTTCATCTAATGTATTAAATTCTATTACACAATCATTAAATGGAAATCAATTATCACAACAATATATTTCATTAATGTTATTTGGAGCTATTCTTGAAGGAGGTTGTTCATTAAAGAATTTAATAGTTCAAAATATTCCAAGTATTGTTCAAATTTATTCTAATTCTCAAAATGGGTTAATTAAAATGGCTGCTTCTAAAGCTTTAATTAAAGTATTAAAAATGATGCCACAATTATTAAATGGACAAATTATTAATCAATTAATTACTACTGCACTTAATATTATTTCAAGTAATAATAAGTCATATATTATTTCATCATGTTTACTCATTGGTTATATCTATAAAACAGTTGAAGAAGGAAATTCATTGTCATCTAGTGTAAATCAAGTTCATTCAACATTAATTAAATTAGTACAAATGAATGATGAATTAATTCAAAGAACATCACTTCAATCATTAAAAAGAATTGTTGGGAATTTGTATAAAGTAAATGCTAAACCATTAATATTAAATACATTTAATTCAATTATTCAATTTATTCAACTTTTACAACAACAAGGTAATATGAAAGCTATTTCTATTTGTATACAAATTATGGGAGATTGTATTGATGAATTAACTGAAGAAATACAATCAAATCCAAACACTATTAATCTTCAACAAACAATGAATATTTTAATTAGTTATTTAGCTAATACAGATACATTTGATTCTGCAATGAAAGCAATAGTTACAGTATCATCAGTATTAGCAGAACAATTCCAAGTATTTACAGGACCAGTTGTAGAAAAATTATTAATTGCTTTGAAAGAAGTTAGTCAATCAGAAATGATTAAAGAAAGTTGTATTACTATAGAACAATTATCTCTTGCAATTAAAACAGCAATGTCACCTTATGTAGAACAATTATTAACACAATTATTTAATGATTTACAATCAAATCAACTTAATTTTAAAGTAAAATTTACTATTATTAAAGCCATTTCTGGATTAGCTGTTGGAATTGGTTTTAATGGATTTTCAAGATATACATCAGTAATATTAAATGCATTAGGTCAAATTACTAAAAACCTTCTTGGATTAAAATTAGATCTTTATAATGAAGATGGTGCAGAATTCTTTGAAAGTATGATGGAATCTATTCTTATTTGTTATTCTAGATTGTACAAAGGATCAGATCAAACTATAATTAATTTTATTGATGTTCCAATTAACTTAACATTAAGTATTCATCAAGTAATATGTAGTGGTAGTGGATATGTAAATACTGATATTATTTATAGTGCTGTTTGTGCATTTTATGATACAATTGTGTCATTACCTTTTATTTGTCAAAGCCAAGAGTTATTTAAAAAAATATTCACTCCATCTGTTCTTGAAGTTATTCGTTCATGTGATTCAAATACTGAAGAAGAAGACCTAAGAATTAATGTTGATTCTTTAGTTAATAAATTAAAGAAATTAGGTGTTTTTCAATGATTGGTAACAAAAGTTAATTGACTTTCTTTTGTTTAAATTAAACTCAACCTATTCAATTAATTTAAAAATTAAAATGATGTTCATTAATAAGTTTATCAATATCACCATATTTAATAAAATCAACTAATATTGAAGGTTCTATAGATTTAATTTCAATAAAAAGGTCATTTATTGGTGTTTTTTCTATTATTGTTTTATCTAATTGTATAACACCAAGATAATAATTTTCAATAACTTTACATAGTTGATCAATTCTTGTTTTTAATTGAACTAAGGAATTTTCATAAGGACTTTCTATAACTTCTTTTTCTTCTTCATTTTCTTCAGGTAAACAAATTGTAATGTCAACTAAATTGGAATAACGTTTTGCTAGTAAAATACATTCTTTAATAACTCCTGTAATTTGGTATGCAATAATACCACTATAACTTCCACATCCCCATAATGGTGTTGATGTACCAATATCTTCTTTTCTTTGAACAACAAAACATTGATCTCTAACACTATTTAATTCTATTTCAATCATTTCTTTATTAAGAATTAAAATTTCAAGTATTCTACCAAATGAACAAATGAAATCAACTACTGTTGCATCTGTTTGGATTTGATGAATTCCTTTATATTCATTTTCTTTTGTTTCTCTAAAGAGTTTTTTAGTTAAATTAAATAGTCTTGAAGGTCCTTTCATAGTGAATTGTTTAAAAAATGAAGAGTCTACTGGTTGTGTTATTTTGTTATTTGCAATTAATCCCAAAAACACTCCAAGAACTAATGCATTAAAACAATTCCATATTCGAGCATTTCCATTAATCATTGTTAAAACATTCATTTCATTTCCTTCTAAAAATGCTTTATATTCAGGAGTCTTCATTTTAATTGGTTTAATTTGTAATTTCTCAAATACTTCAAATGTCATTTTTCTTTCATTATTATAAAGAACTTCCCCTTCTCCAAGAAGTACTTTTCCTACAGCAGCAATATGATATGTATTGTTACAAATACTCCTTTTTGTTTTTAATGGAATGATTGGAAGAATATCTTTTTGGTATAATTCTTGAAGAAGTTTAATGGTTTGGAGTTGTACTGGAGTATTTCCTCTACAAATTGCATTCATTTTTAATAATAAAATGCCTCGAGTTTTGAATGGAGAAAGTATTTCATCCGAACATCCATCTAATCGTTCATTAAACTTCTCCAAAATATTAATGTCTGTATCTTCTGATATTTGAGGAATGCTTTCCAAACATGTATGATGAAGATATAATTGATGTGATTTTTGACAGCCTTTAAGAAGATATTTTGGTGTCATTGTAAAACCATCTATTAAATACATAAATTCATCTTCTTTATTTTCTTCTATACTTTCATGGAGTTGCTTTTTCATTTTATTTATTTTTTAGTTTTTTTATACTTTTTTGTGTGTTTTAAAACCTTCTTTATTAAATGAAATTCAATTTAACTTTGTTGCTCAACTGAAACAAAAACAACATTATTCTGTTGTACTACCCCTATAAATGAAATACCATTTTCTTTATTTACTTCATTTGGTGTAAAGACACTTTCGACAGTTGTTTGTTTTGAATTAACAACCTTCAGTATTTGTTCTTTATTATTAATCCCACAAATGGCTATTAACTCATTACTAATAGGACGTACTTTATAACCATTTTCAATAAGATGTTTGTATACAATAACTTTTGGATTATAAAACAACTTGAACTCATCTTGTCCTTCAGCTCTTCCCATTTGGACTAAGGCAGCAGCAATATCTTTGTTAATGCACTGGGGTTTAAAGACAATCGTTTTAATTGTTTTAAATTTACTTTCAGAAACTAATTTTTGTAATAATTTTCCTTTCATATTTGTGACTTTATAGCAATCTTCATCAATTTTCGTTAATGTACACTGGTTGAAAACAACTTGTTGTTTATTTTCTTTTTGTCTTTTCATTCAAATTAGTAATGAACAGTTCATTAATAATAAAAAAGGTATGTCTTATATAAAAAGAACAACTCAGACTCAAATGAAAGTTGAAATCACTGGAAACTATAAAAGAATCCTACTTAAGATAACGCAGTAAAGTCATCACTGTTATTTTTTTCATTTCTTTATTTATAATAATTATTATTATTATTATAATTAATTATTATGGTTTTTTAATACTAATTTAATAATAAAAAATTAATTCATTAATATTAATAAAATTAGTTTCTATTATTTTTACATAAGTAGAAATTAACCTCATTCATGAACCATCTTCAAGTAACTCTATATAGTAATGTTATTATTATAGAGTCAATGTTTAATTTCGTTCATCAT